GGGGGTGTCTTAACAGTGCAAACACAAAGCTGGTTAAGGGACCAGGTTAAGAATTCTGCCACCCTGTCAATAATTTGAGGCAAACAAACTGTGGCCACAGAGGTCGAGTGGCCGCAAAGAGACAAAGGAGAGAGGGTAAAGAACGTCTTGACAACTTTCTTGCTTTGAAATTCAGGAAAACCATTCTTTTCTGATGCAGTCACCACAGGCCATTATCCCTGTAGGTATTTTATGTTTAGTATCGCATTAGATTCTCATTCTTTATTGGGGAAAGAAAAAGCCAGGCCCGTGGGTGTGTCGATGAATTTCCAAAGCTGCACGGGTAGGAAGCGGTCGTCCACCGTCCAACTTGCAGAGTCCTTCCCACCAAATACGTCACTGCTGGTGGGTCGTCTGGGTGGCCAGGCGTGGAGCTACTAATGGAAATAAGCACGGAGGGTCTGGGTCATTGACCTGTCACAGCTATCAGAGGAGAAAGAAAAAGCTACTGCTATATACTTAGATGTAAATAACTGTTTGAAACATTTAATATTGTGTATGAAGAGTGTGAAAGGAAACACTCAATAATTTCTTCGTCTTAGAACTTAATTACTGTCACTGAGGACACCGTGGAATGCAATTTTTTGTATCTTTTTTTTCCCTCTCTTTAGGTTCGAGTCTTCACATCCAAAGGACCTGGCCCGTTTTCTGACTTGGTAAAGACCCAAACATCAGGTACTCTCTGAAACCCATGTAAATAATAGTTTGTGTTTTAAAGAGGTTTTTAACCCTTGGTTTTCTCAGGGACATAAGCGCCGTCTCTGAGCTGAAGTTCAAGTCAAGTGAAGTAATGGATTTTTATCCCCGTTAAACACGCTTCAATAAGCCCAGGCTTAGCCTGTCTCCACTGAGACTAGTGTAGTAGATGGACCAAAGGAAACCTACGGATTTCAAAACGACCGAATATTCAGTTAAGGGATCTAGGTAAACTCAAGTTATTTTTCTCATACATATTACCTACTTGTGTTTTGTTTTCAGAAATCAACCCATTTCCATACCTCATAACTCTTTTTGGCAACAAGATAGTTTTGTTAGATATGGATCGAAATAAAGTTGTATGGATGTTTTCGGCAGAAAGAGACGTCAGCGCCATGGGATACACAGCTGACAACGCAAGGGGGTACTATGCCCAGGGAGGCGCGCTCTTCCTTCTGAACATGCACAGTCAGTCCAGCTCTGAGGTACATCGCTGTGTCACTCTTTGGGAACGAAGGGTGTTAACTATCAAGGCTGTTATTAAAGGGCTTTTGGTGGAGTTGTGAAAGGAAGGAAGTAGAGCATTTGCATATCACACTGCCCCGTAATTAAAATGACTGGCCTGTGGTTGAGCCACTGAGATTAGAGTGGTTGAAAAGGGCAGATGCCCTATAACTACTTAGTCACAGATGAGCTCAGGTTAGGTTTTGGGCAAATGTCATTTAGGATTACTTTAGCAGAAACAGTTGTTGGGTTTAAGGCACTGTGTTAGTCCCCGGAATAATGGTAAAAAAGAAAATTCATCGTCCTTAAACAAGCCCAGTCTAGTAGGGGTCTAACGCTAGGGAGACAGTAGTGCACCGTGTGTAGAGGGTGAGTTTTGGAATCTGACCACCTAGAATCTAACTCGGACTCCACCACTGCCTGGATCTGTGACCATCAGCAAGTTATTTAATGGCTATGGTTATGTAACAGCCCATCCTAGGATTCCTGTGAAGATCAAATGCGACAATGCACGTAAGGCACATAGCACAATGCCCGGCATGTGGCAGGCATTCAGCGAATGTCTGACAGTGGAGAAGGCAGGCAGAACACGGCGTAAGCGCCGTGCTGAGCGCAGGGTGCCGCGGGATCAGAGAATGGGTGTTCAGTCCAGGTCGGTTGTGGTAGGACAGAGAGACTTCTTGGGTGCGAAGATGAACCAGGTGAAGGCGGGGAAAAGCTGAGGAAGCAGCAAATGCAAAGCCAGGGAAGCGAGGGCCATCGCATGTTCAGGGAGCTAGAGTAGAAGGAGCTTAGAGTGGAGACAGAGGCGAGGACGGAGTGAAAGGCGGGTGGATGAGCTGGAGGGGGGCAGGAGCCTGCAGATAATGGGCCTCCCTTTACTGTACTAAGGAGCCGAGTGTTAATCTCGGAGCCAACAGCAAGGCATTAAAGAAATCAGCGGGTCATTACCATGATCGAGCTGTGTTTTAGAAAGACCTGTCAGCGGTGTGAATAATGACTTAGGGAAGAAGGTGAAGTCTGAGACAATTAGGAGGCTGTCACAGAAATCCAGCTGGGAAGGCAGGACATGAGCGGCAGTGAAGTGAGAAAGGAGAGGCAAAGCTGGGCCGATACTTAGAATGGGACCAGTTCCCAGGGGGTAGTAATGGTAGGAAGACCACAAGGATAGACCACAGCGGGTGGGAGTGCTCCTTGGGTGAGCACTGGGAATCTATAAACATGGAAGGGTAGGAGAGGAGGGGGTTTGGGGCCCAGAGTGATGAACTCTATTTCAGGGGATCACTCACGTGTGGTTAGTAGGCAGTTTAATATTTGAATCAGGAACTCAGTGAGGGATCTTGCCTGAAGATGTGGATTTGTAGCTCTGGTTTATGGATTACAGTTGAAGCCACGGTAGTTGAAATCACCCAGGGAAGAGGCCCGCGGTGGCGCACCATCCAGTTCTTGAGGTTTTGGATTACAAAAGAGAAGTGCAGGAAATACGTAATATGAGTGGATACAGAAAACTCCTCAAATCTGACAGAAATGACCACTATCTCCTTGGCTGTGTTTTCTGCCTGATTTAAGATTTTCCGAGATGCACTGGTTTCTGATATCACAATTATTGCAATTGACTGGATTTCAAGGCACCTCTACTTTGTGCTGAAAGAATCACAGAATGGAATGCAAATATTTGATGTCGATCTTGAGCACAAGGTGAAATATCCCAGAAAGCTGAAAATTTGCAACAGAAATGCAACAATTGTCTCTTTTTTCGTGTATCCCCTTTTAAGGTATGTGAAGTGTATCCATTTCTATAGTGATGAAATACAGAGACATATTTAATATAATGAATTTGATTTACTATTAGAAGTCAATGATGGGAAAATAAGATGCGTAGGGTTCTTGTCTCACGACATTAACTTTATTTATTTATTTATTTATTTATTTATTTATTTATTTATTTATTATTTATTCACTGATCTGCCTAAAACTCAATGATGGTAGGGACCTTTGTATATATATATATTTTTTAATATTGCAGATGTCCCTTTTTCTCCCCAATGACCCATTCCACCCTGTCCCACCCCCCTCCCCAGACCCTCTCCCCACCATTGCTCGTGTCCTTGGGTTGTGCATATGTGCATATCAATTCTTTGGTTAATCTCTCCCCCTCCAACATTAACTTTTAGCAAGTAATTCTACATATAAATTATGAGCCCACAACCACAAATATGTAAACTGAATCCATACTAACAATTTAACTAACCTAAAGTTAGGTTAATTACCAGCAGGAAACCAAAGCAGACTTTTATATCAGTGAATTTAATATCTTTATTTGGTAAGGACAAGAAAGGGACTGAGACAATAGCAGAAGATGAGCAGTAGGTATCTACCATGTCATGCACAGTAAAAGCTATTCTGGGCTCATCCATCTTTGATGTCCTCATAAAATGAGTTTTAAGGCCTCCATTCAGCAATTGAGTGGCAGTTTCCCAGGCTGGAAAGATATATTTTGTTTGTGCCATAAGCACAGATATAGTCCATCTTGAAACTAGACTGTTAACTAATATTAAGAAGCAGAAACAAAATTGAGAGGAGGGGAATGGAAATGGGTGATGATGAAAAGTTGCAAATATACTTTATATTTACAATCATTAATGAGCCACTTAACAGTGTCTAAGGTCATTATAGTCCAAGGCTTTAGTTGTAAACACATTTATTGAGAAATCATTGGAAAATGCTATAAACTAGATTTCCTGTGGCCTCCTCCGTCTCAGAAGAACATGTTCTCTTCAAAGGCTGCATTTGTCCCCCCCCAATTATTAGAAAATGATTGGTCTTCTTATGAAACTAATATTTGAAATGATGTGTTTTACTCATTAAGTTGGAAGGTATTTTCCCCCCAATAGTCGCCTGTATTGGACAGAAGTTTCTGAGTTGGGCACTCAGATGTTCTACTACAGTATCATCAACAAGACCCTGCACGGCATTCTGCAGCCCACGGCCACAAACCATCCAAATGGAAGGAGCCGCTGTTCTTGCAATGTCACTGAATTCGAGTTAAGTGGAGCAATGACTATTGATACCTCTCACATAAAGAAACCACAGATATACTTTGTCAAAAGGCAAGAGATCTGGGCCATGGATCTGGAAGGATGCCAGTGTTGGCAGGTTATCATAATGCCTGCTCTGCTTGGTAAGACAACGTATGTGTACGTAGACCTTTATTAGCAGTGGCAGCCCCTCCTGTCCCATTAAAAAGGGCTTACATCCCACATGTACACAGAATACACACATGGTATTTACTCTGGACCATGCCAAATGCTCTTGTAGAATTCAAATGAACTTGTTTCCAGAAAAATTGTATATAGGCATCCATAGAATTTTCTGTACCTGTGGAGATTTTTTTTTGTTATTTTATAATTAACAGTAGAGCTACAATGTATTGAGCTTCACTGTATATTCTAAGTATGCTGCTAAATGCATTATCTCATGTAATCTTCACAACACCCCGATGATGTAGGTACTAGCGTTGGCGATGGTGGGAATGGCACTAGGAGTTAGACTGGTGGGGTCAGACTGGACCTTGGTTCAGCAACCTTGGTACTTGAGTTCTGGCTAGGAAAGAATTCAGAGTCGAGGCTCAAACTGTAAGAGAAAATTTATTTAGAATGTCACAGAGGTAGAAGTGAGTGGTAGAAGAAATGGGCTCAGGAAACAAGTTACAGAGGCAAAAGAAGGGCCCTTGGAGCTTAGGAAAGAGAAAGGTAAAGGTACTATACCTGGAGGGGGTTGGAAGAGGGGGAAGGGAAAGGCTGGCATGCTCCCAGGAGGGAGAAGGTGCTGGGTCCTCTATCCTAAGGGCTTTTAAGGGTGGAAATTTTAGGAGAAGTCCCTGGGAAGGATCTAAATAGAACAACTATCAGTTTTCCAGGTGTGTCCTTTCATGGTTGTGGTCTCCACTGATTGGCTGGTGCCTGGGGACGGGGTAATTTGTCAGTGCAGCTGGTCCTGAGGTCAGTTGTGGTGTTGTTTGTCTGGTTTTGCTGCTTTTCTGGGCCTGGAGCTGAAACACAACTCAAGCCTAGATATATTTGATGTGGGTCAGAACCTCAATGTCCTGTGGGCTTAATGCTTAAGGATTATTCTCTGGCCCTTTTATTTTCCCCCAAGGGGGTCTACTACATGACTAGCAACATACCAAGGAGGAAAAGTCAGAGGAGGGTCGGAGCGCATGACCAGTGGTATGAAAGTCAGGGGGTCTAAACGAAATGATCAGTGACATGCTGGGGAGGAAAGGTTACCCTGGGGATGAGGTCCTTGTTTTTCCAGTTGCTGGGCAACCAGGACTTTCCACCCTGCTGACCTCCTGTACCTGGCCCATCATCCTTGCTTTGCTCATGTCTGTCTGACTGCCTACCACATTTTGCAGATGAGGAAACTGAGGCTGAGAAAGGTGAGGTAATTTGTCCAAAGGGTTACAATTAGTAAGTAGATGAGCTGGGGTTTGAAATTGGGCCATACACAACATCTATGATCTTACTCCCAGCGCCCTATTTTACTTCAGTTTTGAGGATTCCATTGACTCCACATTCAGCATGAATTGGTAAATATTGGAAATTCTCATGCTGGTGGATGAAACATTTGAAAATCTAAAGCAGTTTGAAAGTCTCCAAATTGGAGTCATTGTAACAGAAAAATAGACATTCTAAATTCCCTCATATATTCTTAAGAGTCTATTTCTCACTGTCCAGTATGCTATGTTGTAGTTTCATATGGTGGTTTAGGTTTAAATTAATTAAAATAAATAAAATTAAAATTTTAATTTCACTGTCACACTAGCCACATTTTAAGTTCTCAAAAGTCACAAGTGGCTAATGGTTACTGTATGGGCAGCTTTGATATGTCTTTCCATCACCAAAAGTTACTGCGCATTGCTGATTTATATAGTAAAGTTTTGAAATTGCAAATGTGTGTGTGTGCGTGTTGTGTGAATATGGAAGTTATAACTGCTCATATGGTTTTGTTGACATGCCATCCACAGTGTTTTAGAAACAGTTCTGAAGTTCTGATGGACTCTCAATGGGCTGCAGAGTAGAGATAATGTTTTGAATTTCTCTTATTAAGAAAATGACTTGTTTTTGTTGAATCTGTAACAAAGATTATTTTCTTAATCAAACTTTAGTTAGGCTCCTCTGAGCCCTCTTCTCAACTAGGCCTGGACCTTAGCCTTCCATGTCCATCCTTGCTCACTGCAGTTTTAGCAAGAATCCTGCTGAGTCAGTTTAGAGAGAATTCCCACACCTTTGATAAGCTCTTCATACCCCACCCTTGATGATCTTGACCTGCCTTTACCAAGATCTTACTAGGCCAGTTTAGCAAGAATCCCTTACCCTTGATGCCTCCTCTGAATAATTTCTTATCCACTGACCCTCTCATGGCATGTTGGTTATTAATCTTCAGCCGTGTCTGTTATATCGAGTTGAGCACATCTCTCTCCTGTATTATAGCTCCCTCTGCGATATTGCAGTAGTGTTCTGGTCAGTGCAGGAGGCCTCTGACTTCCTAGGTCATCTTTTACTGCAGCTGAGAGTGGCATTAGGTCTTTCGGCTGCCTGCCATTTGAAAACCCACACCTTTTTCATGTTAACTATTATTAAGGCAGATTTATTTTGTTATTTCTAGAGTTGATTTTAAACTCAAATTTAGGATGTTACATTTGTTCCTGTTAAATTTCAGTCTGCTTCCTGATTCTGTTGTGATATTTTTGAATTCCCGAATATACTAGTGACAGAAAGAATTGTGTAGTGTCTGCAAATTTGATAAATATGTTCCCTGTGCATTCATTCCAAATCATTGATCAAATACTGAGCAAGGCGCTGAGCCCTGTGCCTATCATCTATTGCCTCTCTTCAGTTAGGCGTTGTTTGACTTAGAGTCACACAGGTAAGCTGTAAATCCTGGCTCTGCCCTTTACCAGCCTGTGGCCTTGACATTCTTTAACTCATCCAAGCTCAGTTTCTCCTTCTACAAAATAAGGCCAATAATATATAATATTTACTTTATGGCTGGAAGTGGAGTTTAAATGAGAACATATCTGGGAAATTTTTAGCCTAATGACATAAAATGTGTTCTTTTTTCCTATTGAAATAATATGAAGATTCAAAATTTAGCAGTTATGATATAAAAAAAGGATTTCACATTGTCTAGAGTAGAAATCATAAGATTTATGTCCTTTATTTTATGTTTTCCATAAGCAGGAAAAACACTTGTTAGCTTAACTGTGGATGGGGAATATCTGTATTGGATCTCCGCAGCTACGGGCGGCACCCAGGTTTATCAAGTAAAGAAAAGCCGCGGGGCCACCCCCTCCCGGGTGGAGGCCCCGAGGAGCCAGCGCGTCTTGGCTTACAGTTCGCTGCTGCAGCCTTTTCCAGGTAATCAAGCCACAGTCTTCACCAGCTTGTTCTCCCAGGTCAGGGTCAGGAAAGTCTCCGAGTCTCCTTGTCCGGGCTGTTTCCCCACCTCCTCTGTTGTGCTCCCGGTGTTGCTCCAGGCTGGGCTGTCAGGGTCTGGCCTGCGCTCTGAGGCTGTTTGCCTCGGGGCACAGTTCATCTCGGGCTTGGGCTTGGTAGGCAACTGGAGACCCGGGAAACCCTTGGCCTGCTGTCCTCGCTGCCTGTTAGTCCCGAAAGTTCCCTTCTTTCTATCTTCTTCCTTCTTGGATGGTATTTTAGACTCCCAAGGGTGTCGCAAAGCATAACATTTCAGATCTTTTTCAAGGTCACGTCCCTATTTATAATGAGATTATGTACATCAGTCATTTAACATGCGTACCTTTGTGCTACCATTTTTATTAAGTTCTTGTCTTTTTTAAATGTGTCACTCACGAAGTTTTTAGTGTTGTGCCCCTAACTCTATTTCTCCCATAAGCCCTGTGGATTTTATTGTGCAATTCTGTATAAGGCAGTGACTTTTAGGAATGCATGTGTCACATTATGGGTAGAACTGACTATATATTTACTACTGCGAATCACAATTTAAAAAAATGTTTGCAATAAACCAACCAACCAAAAATAAAAATAGCATTACATTGATTCATGGGTGACATTCAAACCTAAATTGGTTTTTGAGTTTTTTCTCTCAAGCTTTCTTTGCTATTAAGGTGCCTATGTCGTTCTAAATTAAGTATAATTCCTCACTGAAGAGGGAAAGAAATGAAGGAAACACACTTAAGTAATATTTGCTTAAATATATTTACTTGTAAAATATGTAAGTTACAAAATATTTAAAAATTGAAGATTTTATAAATAAATTGAATGCACATTTTGGTTAAAGAATCCATTTTCAACTTTGAGAAATTTAACAGACTTAAAAAGTCCGTGTAATAATATCTATTTGAACTTGAACAGACACACGCATGCACGCACATCCCTAAAAAGAAAAGTCCTAAAGCTAGCATGACTTTTCATAATTGAAACTCTTTTAAAAATATGCTCTCATTACTTCAAAATAAAACAAAGGCCAGCTGTATTTTGCTACTGGCTGGGTACACAATAAATGATACTTTAGCGCCGTCTGCTGGAAGCACTAAGCAATTATCAGTTACCTTGCTCCCTTTTTCTGAGGCTTAGAGCATCTTTGAGATGGATGGGGGAAAAACTTGTCTTTCCGTCCTGAATAACACTTCCAGAACTTCAATACATCATGCCTTATAAGTTAAATAAAAGATAAAAATTATATTATCCTTGATGTTAAATAAATCTGTTTTCTCTTTTACCCATATGCGTATATATTTAATCTTTTTTTCCCTTCTTATTTTAGATAAAGCATTTCTGTCTCTAGCTTCAGATATTGCAGAGCCAACTATACTCAACACCACTAACACCAGCCTCACAATCAGATTACCACCTCCCAGGACAAACCTCACTTGGTATGGCATCACCAGCCCTACTCCAACATACCTGGTTTATTACAAAGAAGCTAATGGTGGGAAAAACAGCTCTGAACCAAAATATAAAATGCTGGTAAGACTGGAGCTGGTGGTCATTGTCTTTTCACAAGATATCCTTTTCTGATGTGAAATTCTCAGTCATAGTATCTTCTATATCATTTTTTAAAATGTGCTATTATGTAACCTGTAATAACTGGTTCATCAAAACATATTATGTTCTAGTCTTCTTGTCTTGGAGTAAGTTAAGCTCCAAGGAAGTATATTAACTTACCAGTTGGTAGATCACCACAGTAACAATTTCCTGACTGTCCTGAAAGAACTGGGTTTGTTGCCCTCCCTGGTTATCTAATTATCCCCAGAAAGTGACACAGACCTGTTCTTATGGCCTGTCCGGCAGATTGCAGATGAGGGGTAAGGACTGCGTCGCTGGGCGTTTCCATGAGAGCTAATCTGTCTTGTTGTCTTTGCATTGATTAATATGCATCAAAGGTAGTGATTCCCAGCCTTGTGCACATTGGAGCTTTTAAAATCTCTGGGTCCAGAATTCAGTCAGAATCTCTGGGTGTGGGACTCAGCGATCAGTATTTTTTTTTTAATTTCCCAGATGATTCCAAAGTGCAACCAAAGTTGAGAACCATTGGTCTAAGAAAAGTCTTTTTGCTTAAACTTTATTTCTAAGAATTACTAAATAATGTAGCTTAATCTGTTACTGTATTCACGTTTGTGTCACATCCTTCCAATGCCATCTTGCCGAATTTCTAATGCAATGCTGATAAAATAGTGTCCTCCTCTGGGAATCTAGCTTCCTATGTGCCATGAGTCTGTCACAAAATTGACTGAAGGCTGTCAGCCATTTAGCATTTATTCTTGTAGCTATTAAACAACTCAGGCCTGTGCAGTTAGAACAGAGAACATTTTCATTCATGATCCAAGATTAAAAAATAAACATTTTTGAATATTTGAATCTTTAAAATCTCTTTGATTAATTAATTTCTCCCCATTTGCGCAAAAAAGAAGAATCACATATTGCTTTTTTAAACTTAATTACAGGAGTTTCAGGAGAGTATAGCCCTTATTGAAGGTTTGCAACCATTTTCAACATATATGATAAGGATAGCTATAAAGAATTACTATTCAGATCCTTTGGAACAGTTACCCCTGGGAAAAGAGATTTGGGGGAAAACTAAAAGTGGAGGTGAGTTATGGGCTTGGTGTGGGTTGCGAGAGTGGAATTTTATGATGTATGTGATGTGTATGTTTTTGCCTGAATATTAAAGTAATCTTTATTATGTGAGCTTTTTAAAGCTTCATAAGAAAAATGTATTGGTTGAAAAATACTTTGATGACCTAATTTTTGCTCTAACAGCAGAAGATGATAAATAATATTCCATCAAAATGAAAAGCAACTAGAAGCCAAAACATCAGAATCAATACTGTTTGACCAAGAAGCACATTCTTTGGTCTCACCACACAGTGTCACCCTCTTCCCGTATATTCCCAGGGCTCTGTGCTCACGGTGAGACAGGAAAACCACGCCTTTTCTCTCTATGCGAATTTTACTGAAGCCACTGAGATTCAAAGTAATATAACATATTGCCTTAAAGAAAATGGATCTGGAATCTAAAAGGGTGTTCTTAGAGGTGGCGATTATTACGAAGGGATGCCATTTCTTTCAGATGTCTCATGAATCCACAGAAATCGCTCCAACTTGGCTGTTCATCATCACGGGCCAAATCCTGGAGCTAGAGTCAGAGAAGGATTTAGTCACCGGGCAAAAATAAGCCAGAGCCTTTCAGGCAGCCTGTTCACTTAGCATTATATAAGAGGCTGGCTCTCCTGCGGGACATCTGTCACTCATTCTGCTCACATGATCTCGCTGTTCCTCAACCAAGACCCCGTTACTTCTTTCCATGTCCCAGTGCTCTTGCGACATCCCTTGTCATGCGTTGCTATTTCTTTCAGTCCCAGAGGCTGTCTGGCTCATTAACGCCACGGTGCAGTCGGACAGCAGCCTTGTCGTATCCTGGAGAGAGTCTCCCGAGCCAAACGGGCCCGCGGCGGCGGTGCGCTATCAGCTGGCCATCTCGGGCCGGGGCCCGGCTCCCCCGGCGCCTCGCAGGCGCAGCGCCTACCCGGGCGGCCGCCTGGCGCTCCTTGTCACTGGGCTGGCCGGCGGCAAGCTGTACGTGCTGAAGGTACAGGGACCAGAGTGGGTGCCTTTATTGCCATTTTCAAGCACAGGGGTTTGAAAAGGTTAAGCAATTGTTTTTTTTGTTTTGTTTTGTTTTTACAAAAAGGTCCTGGCCTGCCACGCCGAGGAAATGTGGTGTGCTGAGAGTCACCCCGTCACTGTGGAAACGTTTGACACGCCAGAGAAACCTTATGCCTTGGCTCCAGGCAACACTAGTTTGCAGTTAGGTTGGGAGGCCCCATCTAATGTGAACCTCATCAGATTTTGGTTTGAACTCCAGAAGGTAGATCACACCTTTAATGCAAAACTTTCCTTTATGCTGTAGAGTAAGTTGAGAGCCCTTTTGCACATCTCTAGAGCATTCTCTTGTATGAATCAACAATATATTTGACCACATTCATTGATTCAGGTTTGCCATATAGAAGCAGTGAGCTGTCTAGGCTAATTTCTGACAGAAAGAATTCCCAGAGAGATTCATTTGCTCTTAAAAGGCTCTATGTGAAACGGTATAAATGATGGTTTATGGATTTCACAATATTTTACTTCATTTAGATGTTATCAGCATGGTTCTCTGGTTTAAAGTCCATAGCAATTTGGTGTTTTCTATTTAAAAAAAATGAAANAGATGTTATCTGGTTTAAAATCCATAGCAATTTGGTGTTTTCTATTTTAACAGAATGAAGGACATGTATAAGCAAATAATCAAAACCTTGTTTAGAAATGTCCTTTCAACCATTTAAGGGCTGTATAGCAACAGGAGAGAAGTAAAATATAAAACCATTTTGATCTTGGCATGTAAACTCTAAATGTTTCTTATCCAAAAATCTTCATGCTTTAACCAATATAAAAATATCCAGTGAATTTTAAAGCATCAATTAATCTAATTAATTCACTGCTAAGGAAAGTCTACATTGATTTTATATAGCTACAGTTAAGGTGGATTATTACATTTTTATAGCTGCTACATTTCATTTTCATCCTTATAAATGCCTGTGCTCACATTTGTAAAGATTGGCTGGAAATGTTTCGTTCATTGGTAACTTAAAAACAAATCAGTATAGTCGTGGCCTCATTTTTCTTTAAAAATGAANAATTAATCTAATTAATTCACTGCTAAGGAAAGTCTACATTGATTTTATATCGCTACAGTTAAGGTGGATTATTACATTTTTATAGCTACTACATTTAATTTTCATCCTTGTAAATGCCTGTGTCCACATTTGTAAAGATTGGCTGGAAATGTTTCGTTCATTGGTAACTTAAATCAGTATAGTTGTGGCCTCATTTTTCTTTAAAAATGAAGTTGCTCTCAGGATGTTTTTTAGATTTTACTACATGAGTTTATTTTGTGATCTTGTACTTTTATATAAAAACTATGAAATATGTGAAACAATAGTAAATGTTGAGTTGATAACACCAAAGGCCATAGTTGAACGGGACTTTTTCCATCGAGCGTGTTTATGGGGATGTGTTGCCTATTTGAAAAATGGTCATCTTATAAAAATGCAGTTAAATTGGAGAAACTGGGGGATCCACTTGTTTTTGGACATCTGTTTAGATGAGCTCAACTCAGGTCAGTTTAAAGTCAAGGGGAGGCATATAAAGCTCATTTCCCAGGTCAAAGGGATGAAATGGGTAAGGACCTTAGAGAAGATCTCCAGCCTCTCGTTTTACTGATGAGCAGTCAGAGACCCAGACAGGCGCCAACATGAGTCAGCGCTCACCAGGCAGCCAGCCGAGGACCCAGGGCCGACTGCCCCCTGCCCAGCCCTCCCGGGCGCCGGCCATGGAAGGAGCCGAGCCCGAGTCGCTAGGCCGCCCAGCCCCTCGTGTTCGGGAGGAGCACAGCGGGGGGGCTGCCTGGCTCAGTTCTCGTGACTTCCACACGATGCTTTTTGTTTCAAAACTTCCTCTTTCCTTACACTTGCTCAACACAGGTTTAGAAAGACCGCTTCACAGTCGTGAAGCTGAAATTGTTTGATACAGTAATTTCTCCACGTGTGACCCCCTGTAGGTGCTAATTGATGAGCACAGCCGAAGGCGATGTTAATTGATGAGTGATATCCAGTGAGAAAGTTGTCTACTTTGAACCTACCTTATAATAACAGGACAGCTGGGAATGACTCTAAGTCTCGGCTGAAACTCTGAGGCAGGTGATCGCGGTGAATAATCCTCCTTTTAGTTAACAATTTTTTTAGAAAGGAAAGGAGACAAGGTCTCTCTCTTTTCTGTCAAAAGCTCCTTACATGCAAAATGAGAGAATTCAAGCACACGGCTAAATTTCTATCTATGTCTTAAATGTCATAGATCTTTTTTGTTCTAACAGTGTACAAAAGAAGAGTAGATTTGATTTAAGATTGGAGAAAAATAAGTAATTTTTCTCTTTTTTCTCTTTTTCCCATGGAAGCCCATTGAGACTGTGTTTTCCTCAGCTATCTGGGGGACTCCCTACCAGAACCCAACAATTTTGAAGTCCCAGTCTCTGAGACACCATAGTCTGCACCGTTCCCCACCCCCACCCCCCTCCCAATAATTTGAAAATCCCTCTGTGGCAGCCTCCACCCCGCACGTCAGCCTCTGACGCACGGGAGCTTCTGGCCCTTGTGGGATTTACCGGACGACCCCTCCCCAAGCCTGTGGTCTGTCCAGAACATTCGTTGCTGTGATGCTCTATCGTTTTCCAGTAGCAGCCCTGCTCACGCATCTCCTTGACGCTTCAGTCCTGGGTGGTGTGGGATGTTGGGCCATCCAGACAGTCACCAAAGGTAGTTTCTGTAGCAGGTCATTAAGGACGTAGTTCAGAGGGCTGACATTTTTGAGCCAGAATCAACCTCTCTCCCCCTCTCTCTCCCCCTTTCTCTCTCTCGGTAGGTTCAGAGTAAATGTTAAGGATCCAGTATATCTGTTTCCTTAGGTTATATGTCTGGGTGGGACTGAAACGTTTATTAAGTTTCTCAGGCCGTGTCCCAGACATCTGCATTTCTGTCTCTTTCTCAGTCCTTCTGTTCCCCTCCCCCCTTTCTTTATGTAACAAGGTGGCCTGAAAGGGCGGCAGAGAATCATTCCTAACTGAAAAAAAACTGATATAAAGTGTCCATCCAATGAAACGACCTGACCTTGGAGTGCTAATGAAAAAGGAGATGTAAAGCAAGGTCTGTTTATGGAAGCTGACCTTCCTAGGACACTCGACTGGCGAAAATGCACCAAGAGCCCTGGACAAAATGCCACATCCTATGTCTGTGCTATTGTACATTGAAAAGCATTGCCATTTTCAAATAATGACATCAAGGGTACAAATACACGGATTTTTAAAAATATAATGTCACAGAGGAAAAAGTTTAAGACAAGTGTAATCAGAGACCCAGCATCTGAGGTGGAATGAAAGTAAGATTTCCTCCATAACTGCTCCCCTGGCTGCTTTGTGGCTCGGTGACCACGGGCAGAAACGTCCTTCTTTCTGGAATCTAGTCTTACTTTGTGTAGTAATAAGGAATGCTAGTTAGATGTCTGAAAGCGTTGGGGAAGAAAAACTAAATGTTTTAATCTATAACTCACTGTGGGCTTCTTCACAGAACCAAAACATGTAAAATTATTATTGTTTTGAAATCAGCCCATCTGTGGAATTGAAAGCGTCACTGTCTGATCCCCCATTGTCCCTCGGCGTGAAGTGCCTCCTCCGGCATCCTGGTTTAACGTAGCCTGTACAGTGGGAGGTCAAGCTCTGGATCTCCCCCAGCGACACATAGTCAGAAGTGCATGACCCCCTCGGACTTACCCCGGGACTGTCCTCCAGTCAGTTACGGCTTGTCATAAAAATAAAGTGGCTACTGGCAGTGGGGATGCTGTCTGGGGCCAAACATAAAGAAGCTCTTATTTTTAATAGAGAATGCATTTTATTCAAAGTTCCGTTGCTTGCCTTGGTGTGTGAATTTCTGCGTTTAAGGAGGTTTTCTTAGAGAAACAAAGATGTTCCCGGAGTCTTCTTTCCCCAGGGGCAGCACGGCGAGTTTCGCCGCGTGAGAGCCTCGTGCAGCCGAGGCCTGGCCCACGTGTGCAACATCCCGGGCCTGCGGCCTTTCACTCCTTACGGCGTCCGAGCGGCGGTGGTCTACACGACGGGCGAGAACAGCACCTCGCCGTCCGAAAGCTTTAGGACGAAAGGTGAGCGCTCACGTCCAGCTCCAGAAAACCCTGGCAGGCCTTATGTCACCAATCCCAGAGGCTGACATGTTTTTTGAAAGAGTAAATTACTATTTCTGAAACTTGAGTGAAGAAATTGAAAAAAGTTAGGAGTCCTTATAGACAGAAATGAGATAATAGTCACCTGGGCTTGCAAGGTTTTGAACAAGGCAAAATCATTTCGCCTTTCAGTGTTCAGATTTCCCGTGTAGCTGTGACATTTTGCAGTAAGAACTAAAGGAAAACAGCATTACTGAGTGTTCGGCCAATGTTTACTTACTGACTACTACAACCACAGGCTAAAGATTTAAAAAATCAAAAAAGTATATTAAACTAACTAGTGTTCTAAAAGGTATACCGTAACTCTGAGTTGATCTTATAAGAATCAAATGCTCCAAAACTTAAAATATTTTCTTTTTGTATCACTAATTTCATATCAAGCTAAGATATAGTGTTACTCTTATCATGAATCCATCACTAATCAAAACTTCAGATACTCATTTAAAAATATGCACTTATATGAAAATATTTCTGAATGTTTCTTTCCTCTTAGTAAATATAGTCCAAAGAAATATGTCGTGCAGAATATTTTCTAATTCTAATATATCAATCAGTGTTTTCTTTTGTTTCCAAAGCTGGAGTCCCAAGTAAACCAGGCATTCCAAAATTATTAGAAGGGAGTAAAAATTCAATACAGTGGGGAAAAGCTGACGATAATGGAGGCGGACTTATGTGCTATATCCTTGAGATGAGGTATGTTTGTTGGGAAAAGTGCTTTGTAAACGACAAAAAGCTAAGCAGTTCATTGTAAGGTGTTATTAGATCAAAATTAATACTATTTACCAATATGTATTTTATAAATAAATATGAAGGATCTTTAGTTTAAGGACCTTGAATGTGTCATTACTCTCTGCTCAGATCCTAGCAGCTGGCCTTGGCACTCCAATTACAAGGCAGATCACATCAATCTTCTCAAAAACCTGTAACTGCTTGTCAAAACTTTATGGAAATAATTCCATCACTGGCACATGTAACTTGTATTACTTAATATCTATTCTGTTCAAGAAGCTGAGCTGATGTTTAATGTTAGACGATGGTATGCATGTACATTTCTGATGTTAATTTGTTTTAGCAAGATGCATAATGTCTGGGGAAATTTGTCAAAGAGCTAGGTATTCTTCAGAATGTAAAATCAGGAACAGGTTACACAGGATTCTCTGTCCACTGGGAAGATCACAGTTTGCAGTGTGTTCTCCGGGCCTGAAAATATGCCTTTGATGAAAACGAATCAGCTGATGAACATACGCAACCTCGGGTCCAGCCGGTATGAGGAGCTCTGTGAATCATAACTGGCTCAGATGAACTGATTTCATGCCAACACAGAGGGAGAATTTCAAATTCCACAGACACGCCCCTCACGGGACTATGAAGCTATCTTTTTAAGAAGCTCCAAGGACAAAAGTCACTTCCATAATTATAGTCCTGGCTACTTGAGCTTTAGATCTATTTTTGCTTCATCTTGCCTTGGCATTCCCATAACCTTAAAAAATTTTCCTGCTTATGCTAGAGGATTATGTTAGCCATATTTCTAACTGAAACCTTCTTGAACCTTTTTGTTACTGTTTTTCACAGAGAGTGAAATACATTCTGACCTGCAGAACTGTCTTGGTGGCCTGAGACTGTGGTTATGCTCACCAGTTAGGCCTCACCGTGGTCTTGTAGGACCCCTTTTACGTGTTCCCCTCAATAACACATATATTGCCTCATAAATGTCCTATATTCATGGTTTTGCTCTTACTTTTGCAGAAAAAGTACTTCAAATGATTCACTAAACCAGAACTTAATGTGGAAGATGGCATTTAATGGATCCTGCGGTAGCATTTGCACCTGGAAGTCCAAAAACCTGACAGGAACATTTCAGTTCAGAGTAGTAGCTGTAAATAGCCTGGGATTTGGTGAATACAGTGGAATCAGCGAGACTATTTTGTTAGCTGGAGGTATGTTACCATGTCTGCCTACATACTAACTTATTACGCAAAGCTTCCAAGAGAAAGATGGTGCATTCATAACATCAGCAATAAGTTGAGTAACTGTATAATTTGTCATCTACCGGATTATGCATTTCATCGGATGTGCTCTTCTTAAAGCATCAACACCATTGTCGTTTTTCTCCTGTGTAATAATCAGCCAGCTCTTCACGCCACCTCGCCCAGTCCGTGCTTCTAGAAAGAGCCCCGCTGCCCAGAGCCTGCTGTTTATCCAGCCTTACTGCCTGTTCCCGGCACTCTCATCTTCTCCACGATGGGCCTAAAACTATGCTGTGTCTCTTTCTTAATATTTCCATCTTCCACTGCGTGTCCGATTTCAGTTCGTGACACATCATCTTTCTAATCACATAGCCTAGAAATCTCAGTGCCGTGTTTAATTTTTCCCTCCTGCTGATTTACCACCTCGATGCCTGTCTGATGAGGTCCCACCTTGCCGTTTCCACTTTGCCTTTCCTAACCTAAGCTGTGGTTTCTGGCCTGTGCTCTTGGCTTAATGCTGACTGTTGATCAAGCCAAAGCACAGCTGGATCGCTTACCCCCTCCCCGAAGTGCCCGAAAAGGCCCTCCGTTCACTGCCTTCAGGACCAGGTTCAAACTTCTGGGTGGCATTTGGGGCTTTCTGTGGTTTGCCCTCTGTGTGCGGTTCACCTCTCCCAGCACTTACCCCTTTGCTGCAGCCACATCAGACTGAAAACCTTTCATGACACTAGGCCTTCAGCCTTTGTTTCTTTCAGCCTGGAACGCGGGTCTCCTCAGCCTACCAGTCACCCCACTGCCTGGCATTTCCTCTCCCTCACTTTCTGCCAGTTGAAATTCTTCTCATCCTTCAAGGCCTAACTGAAATGAACTCATGATGCTAAACTGATAGTCTTCAGGCTAATAAATGGTTGCATTTTACACACACACAGCCCACTATTCTACATGAAACTTTCATTGGTGTTTTTCAAATAATAGTTATCTAGATAAGTGTTCAACAAACTTTCTCTGGAAAGAACCAAATGGTAACTATTTTAGGTTCTGCAGGCTGCATCTGGTCTCTATAGCATATTTTTCTTCTTCTTTCTTTCTCTTTTTAAAATAATACTTTAAAAGTCATTCTTAGCTCCTGGGCAGTGCAGAATCAGGCTGTGGCCAGATTTAGCCTATGGCCTTAGTTTACCAAGCTCTGTCTACATGTTTATCTCCTCTACTCAACTGAAACTACCCAAGAGAAGGTACCATGTTTTATGTTTATATTCCTCAATTCAATACCTAAGGGATTAAATGTGTATGAAGACGTTATAGAGAAATAATAATCCCGACTATATAACATATGATGAAGACTGAGACTTCTTGTCCCAAATTCATTAAAAGGGTTATCCATGTTTTCTGGGTTACTCTAAAGTAGCAACCTGGGTGGGTACATCCCTATGAGGTAAACTGGCTCTTTGGCGGGTGGGAACCCACATGTAAAAACACTGATTTTTATTTCCCATGGTGTAAATACTCTCACCATAAATGACTTCAAGCTACATAGTTTGACTGGCTCCTAAAATACCATTGGAGCCAGTTCTGGTATGTCAGGCAGCTCACCTGGACTGTCTATTCTGTAAATTAATTTCTTTTTCTCATTTATTTCTTTAGATGGTTTTTGGATACCAGAAATAAGCTTTATACTTATTGCTGTAATTGGAATATTTCTGATTGTTATAATCCCATTGATCTTTGGTAAGTAAAAAAAAAATTTAAATAGGTAATAAATGATTTACTTGATTACATTACTTGATTTATCTCTTAGTTTATTTAATCTCCCACATGAAATAAATTCATAAAATTTACAATGTTACCTTTGGCTATGCATTCATAACCATTATGTTTTGTGAATTGTATTCTGGATCTAAGAGCAACTATTTTATGAACAATATATCTATATTTATACTTCATGGTATACTTTAGATAGAACTACTTGTGAGAACACTGACTTTAACTTTCTTTAAAATAGTATTTGTTCCTGATTGTGTAACAAGTGTTTTGTGGCTTATAGTTTTAAATAAATAAACAATTACTCTGGGTATATAAAAAAAGGGTAGGATTAATGTGAGACCAGTGGCAGTCCTTGGTTGGGATAGTCTGGGTCTCCAGGCAGACAGCCTGGTTTGGAATGAGCAGGGCCTCTTTTGCAGAAGATCCATTTCTGGCTTGTAGGATCCACTCTCACTTTCAGATGTCCGACTTGCCTCTTTCAAATCCCTGCTCATTTATATATGCCTAGGGAAACAGAAGAATTAGGGTAGATAGATAGAAAACTATTTCCCACTATTCCTTTTATACTAATGTGCTAGTCACCGAAGTCCTTTTAAAAAAAGGTTTAGCTTAATGATGAGAAGATATGGTGACAACCCCAAATATTGGGCCTATCCGGTTATTGCAGTGACCATATATCCTGGTTCATTCCTATTATTTCAGCACAAACATTAGTAGCACTTTCTTTCAGTCCCTATAATGTCTTGGTTTGGATTATAAGATGTATGGTCACCCCATCATTATTAATATTATGAGTCCCTGACATGCTGAAAGATTACAAGAAAAACATATTTACCAGAAAAGGACACTCAAGTACATATTCAGGAAATCGTGGCTTATTGTTTTCATAAATACGGAAAGGTCAGAAGAGACTGTTTAAGGAAAATTTACAAACATAAAGTTGAAATCTCTCAGGATAGAGAAAACCAATATTTCACTAAGTGTTCTAGATACTTTCCCCCAAACCAATTGGAATCATAAGCTGTTGGAGAGCATGTTGAAACTTGAATTGAGATTTCTTTTCAAGATTCCACCCAGATAATATATGGAACTCCTTCAGCTAACTTGGAAAGCTAAAAATTTCAGCTGACCCTGCCAGGATATTAACCTGTGGTTCCAGGGAGTCTAAGTATTGCACAGCTGATGTTTGTGTCGCTAAGCCAGCCCCTCCAGAGTTACGCATAGGACTGCAGTATATTTGACAGTTGGCATATAGGCTTGACTGCTTGTCTGCTTTCCTACGGGGAAGGAGTCGTACATGAAGAATCTTCTGTTTACCTTTGCTTGCCTACTTGTACATCACTGTTGTTTAAGCTCGTGATTCTAGTGGATGAACATGAGATAATTTCAGACAGCCTATTGTGCTTTCAAGACGTCCTATGGATATCTGACTTTCTCAGAACTTAAAGGTCTCTATTCTATTTGGAACTCACAGATTTTTGAGTATAGCTAAACTAGTCTGGTTATTTAGGAAACGTGCATGTGGTTTTACTGTTAGGGGCGTGTAAGTGCCTGAGAAAATTCTGAGTTATTAAAATAATGAACAGTAGCAATTGTTTTAAATCTGTATTGTGCTGAGGGCTCTCATCAGTCATACTTAAAAATACAAAATTGAAACAAGGGTTTAAAAATAAGCATTGACAGCCTTTGCTGTGTGGAGCAGTCATATCTAATGTGCAACATTAGCCATATGCTGGGAGCAGAGGGAAAGATAAAGCAGTAAAATATAATTGCTGACTTCGGGAGCTTGCCATTTAATGAGGGAGGTAAGACCTACCTGTGTGAAAAGATAAGTAGTGATATATGTGTTAAAAAACAATAAAAGGCAATGAGTGGTACCTGAAATACACAAGCCAGTGACATAGAAGTGCTGAGAGCCACAGTTAGTCTTATAAGCTCAGAGATGAGAGATCAGTAGAGGCTGCAGAAGTCTTAGAAGATGTCACTGAAAGTGGGAGACATTAACCTGGGCCTTTAAAAATGAAGAGAAGTGGTGAGAGCATTTTGTGCTTGAAAAATTGCATTAGCAAAAGTGCTTAAGATCTATCCCTGTGTGTTCCCTCAGATGGAATTTCACTTGAATAAAACTCAAACCTATTGAAAACAGAAGCTCCCATGGAATAAAGTTCAAATTTTCATGATCATCTAACAAAGCATCCTTGCTGTTTTCAGTTTCTGAGCCAATATTCTAGGATAGATGGGTGATCTTATTGCTAGAATTGTGTTTTAATCTTTAAAAATACCATTTACTTTTTATGATTATAAAATAATATTTGCTCACTGTATGAAGAAGACAATACAAATCACCCGTGATTTCACAACTGGGGAGACTCCCTGCTAACATTTGGTGGGGTTCCCTCCAATAATTTCTCTGTGTATCTGAATATGTGTATATAAACAACAATGGATATATGCTCTTGTACTCTGCATTTAAAATAAGCATGCCGTTATAGCCATTATATTGCAAGCACTCCTCCGGTCTACTAAGGAGTAAAACCTGGACATATCTGGACTCAGAAATGAATTTGTTTCACTAATAATTATTATATAAGTGTGTTTTGGTTTGACTTTGGTTTATGGGTGATTTTGAGGAATAAATTCTGATATTAAGACACTTCAACTTGTTTTTAACTGCAATAAGAAATATATATATTAAATGTTACTCCAATATGTGACGAAAAGTGAGGTTGTATAAGCTATGTGTTTTTCTATGGCTTTGTACCTAGATTTAATTAGTTTTCTTTATTATGGGCATATTTTTCAATCAAATTCTGTTATTTTACCAATGGTGTCCTTATAGGTAAGTACTTAAAATGTATTGTTAACGTGTCCTAAAGGAAACAGGAAGCAATGCTTTGTTTTATATGATGTCTTTGCTTCTTTATAGTCTGGCATAGAAGATTAAAGAATCAGAAAACTCCCAAGGAAGGGCTGGCAGTTCTCATAAACGAAGACAAAGAGTTGGCTGAGCTGCGCGGCCTGACAGCTATGGTGGGCCTGGCCAACGGCTGCTGTGCCATACAGTGCGTAACCGGGCGTCATCCTGGGGCACCTAGAGAAGGGGCGGGCAGGATCACCCCGGGTTGTGCCCACTAGTCTGGCATAATTGCTAATAACACACCCTTCCACCCTCACATGTGACCTGGGATAGATGGCAAATAATGTGGTTATCCTATCCTGAGGAGAGTAAGCGAAAATCAGTTGTTTTCCAGTGTTTTATCACACAGTTCAAAATAAATGAAACAAGGAGTTAAAGACCACATTGAGGGGAGTAGATGGTAACGTGATAGGTTCAGCTGGAGGCATCCGGGAGAGAGGAATTTCAAGGGTCTCATGTGTGTGCTAGTAATTCAATCTAATTCTCTTCAGAAGTTGTATGGTGGTTGCCTACAAAAGCTCTTTACGTTAGATGAGTTTTGAACTTATGTTGTCATATAACTAAAAAAAATATTTAAATGGCCTTTTATACAAGACACTATATTATGCTCTATATAAAAGGGAATTATATAGTTATAGGCCTTGAAATTTGTAATTTAAGACATAAAAATGAAGGATTTGGAGTAGACACAGAAGTGATCTAAATTAGCTATTCAGAGGTGACTTTTCCTTGAGAAAATACTCAGCACATCTGACATTTGAGATTCTCTTTTAAAAACCCAAAGCATTTTAAGTGCAGATGCATTTATTTCCCTCATAATATTCCAAGTGAGAAGCTTGGCTTCCTAAAAGTTAACCTGATGGAGATGGATCTGATGTCTGTGGCCATAGTAAATTTCGTTTTATATAAGAGATCAGGTGTGTGAAATAGTAAGGTAAATGCTTTTTAGATCATAAATCCAGATGTATTTGCTACTAATTTGCAATTGCTTTTTATACAAATTGGTAACCTGAAGAAATTAATAATTAATAACTGTAATAAAACAAGCTACAGCAAAAAGTCTTGAGGCAATGCACACATGGGCATGTTTCTATCAAAATGAATGTGCTTGAAGCAGTGACGTGGTCTGCCTGGGGTTTAGAATAGGGAAGGAATATTCTGGTTGGTGGGATAGGGAAGTAATAGGAACACAAAATTCCACATCACTGTATCTCATAGAATGCACTACAGTGTTGCAAAGCCATGAGAGTTCTTTCTCACACTCTTTTGAACCCTGACACCAACACCATGGTGTAAACCATATGTATCTTGGGAGACCAAAAATATTGTTATTTTCTAGCACTCTTCCAACCCAAGAGGAGATTGAAAGCCTTCCTGCCTTCCCTCGGGAAAAACTGACTCTGCGCGTCTTGTTGGGAAGTGGGGCCTTTGGAGAAGTGTATGAAGGGACAGCAGTAGGCATCTTAGGAGCTGGAAGTGGAGAAACCAAAGTAGCAGTGAAGGTAATGTGGTTTTCACCCCTTGACATGGATGGCAGCGTATTCACATGGATTTACCTGGATACAACTGTAATGAAAGATGAGTGATCTTAATTGAAGAGAACTGGTAGAAGGTAGAAGCCTATTCATGGCTACAGATGTTACATTATTTTCTTCCATTTCCTACATAAGGTCTGAAATTAATAGTAACCTCTATGGTTACTAATTAGTTAAGACCCAGCAGTTTTCCCCTTTAAATATACTAGAAGAAAAGTGGGGATGTTAAGCACATCCTCAAAGTCTTAGGTAATAGGGCAGATTGTAAATATTTTAGGCTATGGCCATATCATGTCAGTTGCAACTCTGCCACTCTGTCATTGAGTATGTAAACCAATGAGTGTGGTATGTTCCAGTTAGATTTTATTTATGAAAACTGAAGTTTGAATTTCATATGATTTCTGTGTAATGAAATAGTATTCTTTTTCATGTTTTTCAACCATTTAAAAATGTAACATGTCAATTATACCTCAATAAAGCTAGAAAAAAATAAAATAAAAATGTCACAACTATTTTCCAATTGCAAGCTGTACAAAAATAGGTGACAGGGTGGAATTGGTCCTCAGGCTGTATTTTGCTGACCGGTACTACACAGTTATCTATCATGGCATATTAAATGTAGTTTTAAGGAAGCATTGGATATATACTCAGGTTTTTGCAGAACTTTCTTTTGTCAGGAGAGATGATGAATCTTTTATATAATTGAGCAATATCCTGATCACGGCTTGTTAGGAGTTTATTGCTTTGAGGGTGAGCTATACAATGAGAAAAGTTGGCAAAATTTTCTCAACTGGTTTAAATAAGTGTCTATTTTTCTCACATAGCAGGATGACTGCTGGCTTTAGTGCAGTGCCAGTAGATCTGAAATTCTCTTGACTTTGTACATGTGTTGCCTCATGGTACCAAGATGGTTGCCAAAGAATCAGGTATCACATCTTTATTCAGGCCAGAGCATTCGTCGACCAGAACTGAGACATATTTGCAAAGGAGGCTGGAGAATTGCAGGACATGGTTTTCATGATTATCTCAAAGCAATTGCCTGGGACTTGGCACCTTGCATCTAAGAAACAAATTAGGGTATTGTTAGCAAGGAAGCCAGGGAAACAGATATTGAATAGAAAACTCTGAAAATTAAGAAAGTAGCTTAAACACCAAATTTGTTCTCTTTTTAAAATTTCTACATTTTGGAGCAACTTTGTGTAAATATTACTAGATCTTTTATCTATCAGGTATTTCTACTTAAATACTTTCAGTAACAGGAGCTATCTTTTGAACAGGCTTGCATAGCACATGTATATGCATTATCTATTATCTACTTTGAAATTTCTGGGTGGATGGTATAAAACAAAAGAAAGATGATCTCCATTAACTCCCTGAGCTCACAGAAATGTCTGCTATTCTGATTCTTGGCTGGTTTTTTATGTTGCACAGACTTTAAAGAAGGGCTCCACGGACCAGGAGAAGATCGAATTCCTGAAGGAGGCATATCTGATGAGGTATCAGGGCAGCTCTAAAGTAGTTTTCCCTTGGTATGGGTAGGAAGCTTTTACAACCGATTGGTGGATTTTTAACATTCAAAATCACCTGACATAATAAATCATGCCCCAAATGAACATGGCTGGAGTTTGAATGGAAATATGTCTGTAATGACAAGTATTCCGTAGAAGCCTGTCTTCCAAGCCTGGGCACAGGCTGTCCTCTGGCAAAAGGTCTTCCTTCCTTTCACCTTCAATGAGAAGCATGTTTTGCAAGTGACTTCTGAAGCTGATTAGCTTTAAACATGCTTATGATCTTCTGAATGTGTAATAGTGGTTGAAGTGGACTGAGAAAGAGAGCGTTCTCTTAAGTACAGTGATACCGATGAAAATATCCCTTGTCTTGCTAAGCTTGTGTTCAGTGTTAGAGTCAGTTGTTGGGCATGAAAACTGCTCTAAGACATCTCAACAGGAAGANCTTGTCTTGCTAAGCTTGTGTTCAGTGTTAGAGTCAGTTGTTGGGCATGAAAACTGCTTTAAGACATCTCAACAGGAACCCCGAGGAAGTGGTCCCAAGCTGTGGGTTCTGGTTATTAGATTGGGGTTTACTTGCTTTGATGTCTTGAGGAAACAGTTGTAGCCAAACCTGCCTCTCTGAATTGTTTCTCTAAAACAGAGAGAATAATATTTCATACTTGTGGTGGCCAAAACCATAATGTTATCAAATACCTGTTGAAAAAGGAATTTAGTTCAAACTACTTTCTTTTCCGAAACATAAAATTCTTAATATAAACATGATTTCTTCTAAAACCCACCCTGCTCTATCCATGTGCACTGGCCACTAGGGGTTGCCGTATTACCTCTGTAAGGCAAGAACACAGAGCAGCACTGGGGAAAAGGAGGCGCTCATTTATCAGAGGGAAAAATGAGGGCTTTTGCTGAAAACTGGATAAGCAATTGCTCTATTCCGTAAAGGCCCTCAGCTGGACTTCTGTTGCGGTCATGTCATCCCGCCTGTCTCTTTCCACCTTCTAGCAAGTTTAATCACCCCAACATTCTGAAGCAGCTCGGAGTTTGTCTGCTGAATGAGCCCCAATACATTATCCTGGAATTGATGGAAGGAGGCGATCTCCTCACCTATTTGCGGAAAGCCCGGATGACAACGGTAGGAAATGGGGTCCCCAGGATTGGTTTTGTAATGCAAATATCCTATAATGTCCTGTTAATTTTCTTTCAATTCAATAGGCTACCATTTTGGCCAATGGGAGACTTCCTTGGAAAGAATTCTTATATTTCCTTTATGTTGAATTAAGACAATTAGCACCCTGGGCTTATTTCTGGCATCTTCTGGTTATTTGAGCCCACTTTCAGTATTTTACAGGAAAACAGGTCCCTCCCAGCCAGAATTATGTTTTCTGGAGAACAGAGATTGTGTGGAGTTGGAAAAGGCACATCTTTCTCTGTCCTTAATCTATATGTCTGTCGCTCTCAAAATGATGTTTCCAGTCTTTATGTCTTTACTGAGTACTGGACTTATAAGTCCCCACCCAATTGACATATCTGTTTGGATTTTTAATAGGCATCTCAAATTTATTTTGGGCAAAACCAAATTCTTGATTTCATACATTCCCCTCCATGCCATTCATCCAGCTTTTTGCTTTCTCTTTTCCTGCGACCACACTGACAAGTCCTGTCGGCTCTACAATTCTGCCCACAAAATGCAGCCCCAGCCCATCCTCTGTTCTCTCCCCAGGACCCAGAGCGGCGCCTGGCACAACGGGGACACTGGAAATTCTGTGGAATGAGGGTCATGGGGTGACAGCACCCGGCGCACCTGCTTTAAACCTTAGGCGAGGAACACATGAGACCAAACAAGTAACTGACATTTAAGCCCATAGATTTAAAGAAGTTGATTTTCATTTCTATCAAAGAACACACCCTATGGCTAACAAATTTAGATATATGACAAACTGTGTTTTATATTAGAAAACACAGGAGCTTTTCACTATCTCACCCCATGCTCCCATCCCCGCGTCCCAGGCAGCTACACGTTTCTCCAGGTGCTTACCTCCAGGTTCCTAAGTACCCCGCTGATGCTGCACATTGATTTGCAACCTTGGGGAAATCCACTGCCTGCCTGCTATGAACGGTGAGGGTTTAACCCTCATAGGCTTACTCAGGGACCAGCCCAAACCCCACTAGCTCCACACACAGAAAACTTTGCCCCTCATTTCCCCCCAGAGTATCACTATGTTCAGGTAAATCAGCATTGCAGGCTTATGTTACGATGGCTGCTCAGTTGCCCATTTGCAGCCGAGTACCTCAAATACGGTGCTTGTGTTCTTTCCCTTAGGCTAGCTTAATAAACGCATCTTTTCCCATTTGCTTAGTTCCCTATATAACTCAGCTTCCTCACAGAACCGTAACACTTCTCTCCATGTGGTGAGATGCATCGGAGAATCCAGCATGTCGCAGCTCTTTTCCTGGCCACTTCCCTCCTGGGGCCGGTGCGGGTGGCTGTCCTCTGGGCTGTCTACACAGCGGCTATCCCAGGGGGTTCCTTCACATGTACCCTGGTGATTTCCACGTTGGACCTTTGTTTCCTCTGTTTCATGACTTCTTTGCTCTGTTTTAGAAAGAGAAAGCATTGCCTGTGAGGCTAAATTCACCTTTTCCTTTTTATTTTTCTTTCTGAGAAAAATGTCCTTTATTCTTTCCTCACACTGGATTAACAATTTGGCTGATCCTAGGTTGAAAACCCCCTTTGATAAAAAATAAATCCACCGCATCTTTGTTTTCTAGCTTCTACAATTGCCTTTAAGGAGTCTTTTGTCACTGTGGCTCCCGCACTGGTGATCAGTGATCTGTGTTTGCCCCCTTCTCGGGAAATTTTAGGAATTTCTTATCTGTGGTACTTTTCACACAGCACAATACTCAGCCTGGAAAATTGTCCCCCTCAATTCTGGGATTTTTTTTCATATTATTTCTTTGATAATAAAAAAATCCCTTTGTTCCCTCTATTTCCTTGTTCTGGAAATCCGACAGTGAGTAATGAACAGCTTTGTTTTATCACTTTGTTTTATTTGCTGCTCTCTTCTATTTTCCAACTCTGTCTTTCTGCTCTCAATTCTGGTATATTCCCTAAATTTTTTCATAGAATTTAAAATTTGAGTTTTACACAGACTTCATTATATATTTTGACAGCACCTTAAAATAGTTATCTGGGTATTTGTCATACGGGCAAAATCTTCTCTTATTTTTCCCAAGATACTAATTATACTTTTAAGTAGTTCATTGCCCTGCATTGTCCTGATTTCCTCCTTTCTTCTTTGTTCTGGGATCTGTTTGTAATGTGAGATTTTCTCAAACGTTTGGCCATTTGTGGCTGGTCTTCATATTTAACAGTGAGGCCTTCATATTTGATGGCTGATTGGAACCTGTGTGTCAGTGGCAGCTTCCTTCTGGTTGTCAGGTGAGACCCCACTGTTCTGTCAGGGGTCCCCTGATAATGACAGCATTGGCTGTCTCCAGGCATGTGCCCAGCTTCACCTGAGAGGACCCTGCAGGTCTCCTGTCTGGGCAATAAAGCCTGAGCCTCAGTCCAGGGGGCCAGGGGGAGGAGGGGCTGGAGGCCTCCAGGCGCAGTGTGTGGATGCATCTTTAATTTCCCTCCCTTTTCAACCCAGTGCCTTAGTATGTTTGCTGCCTTTGAATTTAGTGGTGTTGTGGTTCAGTTCCGTGTGTGTGTGTGTGTGTGTGTGTGTGTGTGTGCAGTTTTCCTCAGAGGAAAGCCTCCAGCTGCAGTGGGGAGATCTAGGTCTAGTTATCTCTTAAAATAAACTTCTAAACTTTCCTCTTGCTCCGAGCCCTGCCCCTCACCCGGGCATTCAGAGATACTTGCTACCTCCAATTCCAGAGCCTTTGTGGGGTCCTACAGTGACAAACAGCTTCCTTCTCGCCTTCTCCCTCTGCAGGCAGTCCGCTTTCACCTCGCCGGGCTCTGCTAAATTCCCAGGCCTCCATCTGCTTTCCATGTTCCAACGTGTTTTGTTGCTCTGTGTCTATTGTCCTGATCTATTTGCCCTTGTGAGATCATAAAAGCTTCCCCTTGACTAAAGTAAGGTTTGGGGAGAGAGTGGAACTAAAAATGTATCAATCCCCCATCTTTACCAAGAAAGTTTATCTGTAGTGTTTTTAAAGGTTTTTTTTGGAGGAAGAAAAGAGGCTGAAGGTAGACTAAAAGAAAAGATAGGTCCACATTTTCCAAACTGTTCCTATGCACCCAGGGTCCTAACGGCTCTAATGATTAGTTCCCAAGTGTATTCAGTTCTCCCACTGCCTTTCCTGCCAGCTGCCCCGGAGCTTCCATGCTTGTCTCCCTTGGCCCAGCCATAAAGGACAGGGTGCTGTTAGGTGCTCAGTGCCAGAATCAAGGCCAGAGCCCTCAGCGGAACACCACAGGCTCCAAGCCCCCATCACGCTGAGTTCATCTGGGCCAGCCATCTGTCCACCGAGCGCTCAGAGGCACATTCCAGAGACACCCTTTCCCCATCCCTGTGCCGAGACCGCTGGTCTAGTCCTTCATTTTCAGGGTATCAGTTTCTGCAGCTATAAAATGAAATATTAAATTAAAAACTTACTCAGGCTACTTTTTAGCTTTGATATTCCAACACTGCATTAAGATAGAAAAGAGTAAAAACAAACGAACAAAACCAAGCTATCAAAATAATACAAATACATACCCAGGAACAATTTAATTCATCAAATCTTATGGTTCTTGCTTTCAATGAACTTGCCATGTGGTAGATAAGTCACATATAAATAACCCATTTAAGGTGGAAGTGGGAGGGCTCATTAGAGTGGAGTAGAGAATCTACTGCTGAAGCACAGAGAGAGGTGATTTTCATCTGAGGAGTCCTGGAGAGACTTTGTGGAGAACCAACCAAGGTGGGAGACAGAAAACTCTCTGAAGCTACACCCACATGAGCTGTGAAAGGCTTTGACCAGGGATAGACCTGGATGGAGGTTCAGTATGTCCAGAGGGTTTAGCAAGGGATGATAGATGGTGACCCAGGGCAACATCTGGAGTCAAGAAAGCCCAACAAGGGCTAATGAGGTGTCCCCACTGGTTGTCACATAGGCTGTCAGGAGCAAGTGATATTTAGAAATCTAGGCAGGCAGGCTGCATTCTGAAAAATCTTTCAGCAGAGAACAAGGCACTAGCCACCAGACTAAAGTTCAGGAACAGGGTTCTCTGTGTAGACATCTTCACAAGGAGGGTAGGTTTTACCAAGAGCAGAGCAGAGCCGCTTCACAGAGGAACTGGTAAGCAGCTGGAATACCCACGCATAGGCCGTGAGCTTGGCATCTGGTGGGCATGAACAGGACTGCAGGGGGCTGACTCTTGGGAGTCAGTTCTAGCCTAGTTATCAGACCTAGGTGTGGTTGAACAGCACCATGGCAATGCTGCGTCCCAGCATAAGTGTCAAGATTCTTCCTATTTGGGGGACAAGACATGAGCTTGCTGGGGATGCAGAGGGAGCAGCACTTAAGAGCCCCTGTCCATGAGGAACCGGTAGATTTGAAGCTTGGGAACCGTTATAGTGCCTAGTGTAGGGTGCAGATGGAAATCAGGCCTAAGGAAGGCCTTCCAGGAACAGTGATAGCAGGGATCTAGAAGAGAGGCTGAGAAAAGCAGAGCAGCGTCCCCGTGTGGCCCAAGCACAGGCTGAGAGGAGGTACTGGGGCTGCCATGGCTGCCATGGAGGCTGGCTCAGGAATCTAAGAAATCCTGCAGGCAGTGGGTCGCAACGGAATGAGCTAATTAAAACAGGAGGCTGGAGACCTGGGAAGTTGGGGATGAGTCGGGGTGATAAAGGCCTGAACCAGGGTAACTGCAGGGAAATGACAAGGGACGGAGAGCTTTTTCCATATGGTACTAATAAAAACTTCAGTTGGCTTTTATGTATGTGTGTGTGTGTGTGTGTGTGCGTGTGTGTGTGTAAATCATTGTAGCCAGTACAGACTCAATTTATTTGTGCTGGCTCTCCTAGATGTGCCCTTGAAATAAAGTCTGTATTATACGGGGCTCCTATGAGGAACAAGCCCATTGTCACAACTGACATGATAGCGTGACACTGGGTCAATAATGAAACTGGTGAGCGCTGATTAAACTATCATTACTGCTACTTATGAGAGCAGCTACTGTTTATTAAGTGCCTTTTATATACCAGCCAGATTACATATCTTACCTGAAATCCTATCAAGTCAGAATTACTATTTCCATTTTACCTGTGAGAAAGTTGCTGAGTGAACAAAGCAAAGTGAGCCCGTTCACACAACAAGAAAGTAGCAGAACTAGGTTTCAAATCGGGGCCTGTCAGAACTAATACCGTGTTCCTAACGAAGGTCCCACATTGCCTCTGCTTACTCAATGTAGTCTTATTTACATATTTGGGTAGAAAGCATATAGATGTAGCTCTTTTCCTCTTTGCTTGAATTCCTGTAACCATAACTAAAACTTTCTTTATAATATCATATATATGTGTGCATGTAGCCACTTATACATGTATATGTATATGTGTGTTTTGTGCAAACTGGAAAAGTGCCTGTAATCTTTCTTTCATTTCTTACAGTTTCATGGTCCTTTACTCACCTTGGTTGACCTTGTAGACCTGTGTGTAGATATTTCAAAAGGCTGTGTCTACTTGGAGCAGCTGCACTTTATTCACAGGTACAGTGATGCCCTGGATACAAGTTTCTTATGGATATTGACACCATAGCCATCTGTAGTTTGGGCAAAACAGAAAATAATTAAACATTTTCATTCCTTCAAAATAGCAATAACTTCTTTTAAAACTGTCTCCTCTATAGACCTACTAGCATTACTTGTCTGATCTCTGGAACTTTATTATTATTATTATTATTAAATATGGCTTTTGCCATAGGGATCTGGCAGCTCGGAATTGCCTCGTGTCTGTGAAAGACTATAGCAGTCCATCACGGATAGTGAAGATTGGGGACTTTGGACTGGCGAGGGACATCTATAAAAATGATTACTACAGAAAGAGAGGAGAAGGACTGCTCCCTGTTCGGTGGATGGCTCCGGAAAGTTTGATGGATGGAATCTTCACAACACAGTCTGATGTATGGTGAGCTTAATAGGACCCAGAGAAACGTGGGCAAAACCATCCAAGGTCAGAGCCAAAAGGGATCTTAAAAGGTCTTCTAATCTTGTGATTTTTTATTGTTGAAAGTATTACAGGTGTCCCCCATTTTCTGCCTCCTTGTCCCCCTCCACCCTGCAGCTCAGGCCTTCCCCACACTATCGCCTGCGTCCGTGGGCTGTGCATATATGTACATAAGTTCTTTGGTTAATCTCTTCCTATCCCCCCACCCCCTCCCCTCTGAGATCTGTCAGTCTGCTCCATGCCTCTGGACCTATTTTTGTTCTGAGTTTATTTTGTTCATTAGATTCCACGTATGGGTGAGTTGATCATGTGATATTTGTCTTTCTCTGACTGGCTTATTTCGCTTAGCATAATCATCTCCAGGTCTATCCATGCTGTCACAAAGGGTAAGAGAGCCTCCTTTTTATAATTGCATAGTATTCCACTGTGTATTTGTTTTTAATATGAGAAAACAGAAGACCAGAGAGATTATAATTTGCCTTAAGCTAAAGTGAAAGCTGGTGCCTAAGGTGGACTATTCCTGGGTCTCAGCAGTTTACATGCCTCCCTGCAATCAGTTTTGTGCACGTGAAATAGCTACATTTACTTCAGGTATTTTATTACTCCCCTCAAATCTAGAGGCTTTGACTGATAGGAATTGGTACCTATGAAGTCATGTCTAAGTATGTGTCTAAATGCCTACTATTTGGGGATGTTTGGTCATTAATTTATAAGTAGACTTTAAATCACTGAACTCAAAAACATTAGGGCATTGGGGAGGTTTGGAAGTCTCTTTATTATTTGAATAGGACCCCTTATTTTTGCTTTTGATGAAAACTACTCAGAATGTAAAAATTTATTCAATAACTGGTGCTAGGCACAACTGGGGATGAGATAAAATTGGCCTCGGTGCTGCCAGTTTTCTTCATGCCTCTCTCTCCTCATTTACTAGCCCTCAAACTCAGAAGAAAAAAAGCTGAAATGCTTTCCTGCTCACCCCTAAGTATGCCTGCGTAATGGAGGTCTGCACTCAGGTTCAGCCAGGAAGGAGGAGCAAAGTGTGTGTGTGTGTGTGTCTGTCTGTCTCCCCACTGAGCCTTCTTATCACCTCTGAAGTGTTGCTGGTAGGCAGTTGCTTGTTCTACTTTTGCTTGTGATCAACTTGCTTCTAAGTCTCCCATTTGCCTTTATGGAACCAATCATTCCAATCACAAAGGAGAACCCGTAGCCCCAAGAATATTATGTTGGAGAAACTACTGTTGTAGTTTGTTTGCAATAAGCATAATTAAAGCAAACTCTCTTATATCCTTAGGTCTTTTGGAATTCTGATTTGGGAGATTTTAACTCTTGGCCATCAGCCTTATCCAGCTCATTCTAACCTTGATGTTTTAAACTATGTGCAAACAGGAGGGAGACTGGAGCCACCAAGAAATTGTCCCGATGATCTGTAAGTTATAATTATGTTAACATAAGTACCCAAAAAACAGAAACATGTGCACATGCAATCTTATGCCTCATTGGTATGCAATTTTAAAATAAAAACTGGTCTTCATATATTTGTATATAAAGACCAGTTTAATATAAATTGATTATAACAATTCACTAGATACACCATAGTTTCTTTTTACTTATATATACTCATGAATATTTCACTTCAAAAACAAAATTTGGAATAGTAGAATATATTTATACTCCTGATTAAGTGAATTCTAATAAATAAATAAAAACTCTTTGTGGGGTGTGTGTGTGTGTGTGTGTGTGTGTGTGTGTACATTTTATTTTGGAAGATATGATTGGGCTAATATCTTAATCTGTAAATTAAAATATTCTATTAAGTAGGAATATATTGTTTAAAAGTTAGATCTCATTTGTTGGCATAGCTGATCTTGGGATACAGTACTATTAAAAATTATGGAGGTTATTGTCTGTTTATGAATTTAACATGTAATGACTAAGTGTTAGGACTCTCTCAAATTGACCCCAGCCCCTATTGAATTCTAATAAATTTGAGATCCTCAAAGAGTAGGTGATTTTGATCTAATTATAAAAGAAAAACAAGACAAGTTATTTTGCTGAGTACTAATCCACCTTTTTGTGAACAATCTCAGCAGAAATATTCTTGAGACTTTTCCCAAGATGTGTTTCATCCAAGAAGTTTCTGAAAGAACATACAAGCAACAAGGATAGATTTCTCTGTTATGTGCACAACACCATGCTAAGGATTGTATGATATACAGAGGTGTTCAAAACAGGGGTGTGGCTCTTCAGCAGCTCAGAATGTGTTTTAAAAGAAAAGACACACATGGAGCAGCTGGATAACAAGCCAACACGTAATAAAGTGCTAAACTGTGTGGTACAGGCAAGTGGAAGAGGAATTAACAGTATGCGGATACGCACCACAATTGTACTGCCTGGACTCTGTTGTGTTATTTAGAGGATTATTCAGACTGGAGCCAAAGATGATTAAAACTGGGCGCCTTGGTTGGATGTCTCTTACTGGTGAATATTTTTGTATTATTTAAATCTTCCAGCTAGAAGATTTGAATCTCTGCTTGTTTCTGGCTTAGCTTTTACAGCCTCCGGGATATTTACAGGGAGATTAGGTACACACGTACCTGAACAACTTTGGTGGCAGTGCCTAGAATATACCTCAGATATTGTAGGGGGAGATGGGAGAAATTCTGTAGGCTAGGGGTAAGAAATTACACACAATTTGAAAACCTTTGATCTAGGGTTTGAGGAAAAACCCCAGCATACCTAAGTATGACATATATTTTTATTAAATAGCAAACTAATCATTCTTTTTGCATCTTTTACATATATATCAAACATTCAGAAAATTTCCCCAGAATTTCAATCCCATGAATTTTTCATTGTGTTGTTAGAATTTTACCTGGCATAGGCACTTCAGGAATCAATCACTGAATTATACATTCCGATTGATGCACTCATTTATATTGTTTGGGGAGGAGAGAGGTGGATAATTAATTATCTATTGTGGAGCAAAAGAAATGTAGGTTTGTTGAACTTTGCTCTAATCTAAAGTTCTCCAAAAGTGCTCCTGGAAGGAAGAGGACAGTGTGTGCTAGCAAAGTGCCAGGAAAAGATAATATTCTACATACTTTTATCTTGATTACTCAGTTGGCTACATTATTGCTCTAATTTTGTAAAAATGCAGCTTCCATGAAACCAAATTTTCCATTGGTGGTTTTGAAGTTCATTTGAACATCAGTAATTAAACAGTAAACAGTGTCCCCTTCCAACCTTCCCTCCAAGTGCTGCATGACTCTCAGAGCCCCAGGAAGGGTTAACTCATTGCCAAGCAGGAAAACAAGCTGTGCTGGGAAATGGAGCTCTGAGCAATGCCATTCAATCTGGCCATGGCCTTAAGTTGTCATGATAAAGATTAACTACTCTCCTTAGAGTACAGAGGGAACTGATTTTTATTTGAAGCAGTTCTCTGAGATCACAGGCCCAGCTTAGAGGGTGGAAAGTCTGCGCTGAGCCAGGCTGCACCTTCTATTCACTGCTTAAATTCTCAGCACCTGGATGCACTCTGGGTCAGGCGAGCCCACAGGTAGCTATGCTGTGCTCGGCTATCAATGGAATGCAGGAGCTCAGAGCACTGCCCCTTCTCCCCAGGGCCTGGGGTGTTTGGTGGGAAGCCCAGTTGCCCGTATTCCCCTCAGCCTTCAGTTCTCACAACCACCGCAGCCCTCTCAAGGGGAAGCGGGTTCCCAGGGCAGTCTGCTTCAGGGAAAGCCCTTTGGGGTTCTCTGACAGATGTGTCACGGTGGCAACTGGAATTGCCAGAGAGTCTCAAGTGGAGGGAGCAACAGTGGGAGAACATGAGATTCACCATCTTATTTTTACCCCTTAAAAATATGTGCACCTAGATGCTAATTGAGCCTCTTGGGGATTGGCATAGTGAGGAAGGGAGTTCTTAAAACCAGTATTTTATGTGCTTTGTTTAAATACCTATGGAAACTCACCCTTCTTAATACTGAAAGAGGCCGTGGAGTTTTTATCTGTTGAAATGTAATTGCTTCATGAATCCAAGGCCTTTACTCATAGACACTAAAAATGAACATGGTTAATGAATCTCATGCTATTTTGAAAAGAAAGATTTGAAGCAAAGAGGAGTAAAGGGTTGGCATAGTGAATGAAGGAATTTGCAGAATGAGTTATTTCAAATATGATGAGTGTGTATCTGTGTAGAGCTGGAACAACCAGCCCAGGTAGATTTTAACAACAGTAAAGTACCTGTACATTTATTTAGACTAACATGCTTGAATATTTGTAACTATAAGTTAATGCAAGTATCTAGTGCATGATATTGAATTGTGACTAGTGCCTATTTGTAAGGAAGTACCTCTATGCCAAAGGAATAGTTGTTATTAGTTTACCCGAAGAGGCAAGAAATGTATTTTCAGGATTAAATTCTTGAAAGCTTCATCATTTTATTCCACTGCCAGCTTACTGCTATTTAAGAGCTCACGTTGTACTCTTTTCTTTTAAATGACTGTTGCTTTGTAGAGTTACTCTTTGCTTAATCTAGGGTATTTCAGTGTTCATTTGTCCCGGGATGCAGGGAGAGAAAGGTTTTGTATACTAACAGATCATATGTTTTTGCCATCAGATAATTAAGAACCATGATTAGATTCCATGTAAATTAAGTCTCTTTAGATAAAAAATAGTAATATCTGCTTAAATAAATTACATAGATTAAACAAGAGGCTGAATTTTGGAGAGTGGTGTGAGGGGGTGAGGTGCAGTGTGGCTAAGTGGCAGCTGTAAAGATAGCCTCTCTCCCCCCCACACACACCCCCTTATTCCTTCTGGCTTTTTCTTTCTTTCTGTCCTAAGTAATCTCCTTTAAGTGTCTTAAAATCCTTTGTAGAATGAGGCAGGTCATAAGTAAAATAAGTAAACACTTCACAATTGCAGTATGCCAATTCTTGAGAGTTTCTATCTATTTTTTGCCAATATCTTTGAAACATAACTTTATTTTTTGAGAAAGGATATGCTTCCTGTGGAGAATTATACTTTACTTTCTCTTTTCACCTCCTAAAACAACCCTTAGGCTAGTCATCAAGATTCTACTTTAACTATTACTTAAAATATTTAGAAATATTTTATTTCAAATCTAATCATTGGGATCTTTGTATCATTCCTGTTTCTAAATGCCACAGGTTATAAAGAAATATGTAAAGGATTAGGTTCTCAGTCACAATTCTAATTTTTTAAAAAATAGAGCAAAATTTGGCACTCTATATCCAGAATATAAATTCCTTGTCATAAATATGAAAAGACAACAGATCAGTACTAGAAAATAGACCTATTTCAGGTCTCTCCATAGTACTCCATACTGAGTGCTAACTCTGACCTGAGGTGCTTGTCAAGAAATGAGAGAGATGGAAGTAGAATTTACATACCACATTATAATGAAATGGAGATTATAATTCCTAAAATATATACCAGCTATTTTAAATACAATACCCATAATGATTTCCAGATCATTGTCACCTATGACTGAATATATTCTTGTCCAAACCACAGTTATCTTTCACTTAGTCTTCTTTAATAACTTTCTTACTTCCAACTTGCCTCTCTACAACCCATTTTCCACATGTAGCAGTTAGTGTAATCCTTTAAAAATATAAAAATCATGCCTGTTTAAAAACTTTCAACAGCTTACCATTGTAGCGTCATAAATCCAGCTCCTGGCCTTGTCTACGAGAGCAGCATGATCTCCCTTCCTCCTCTGACCTCATCTCGTGTGCTCTCCTCAATGACGGCTCTTCAGCCACACTGGCTTTCTTTCAGATTCTACAATGTGCCAAGCTCTTTCCAAATTTAGAAATTTACACATGCTTTTCGCTCTTCTAGTGTGTTCCCTGACTCCCATCTGCACCCTACTCCCATGACTAGCATCTTATTTTCCCACAAAGTTCTTTGGCTTAAATGTCACCTCTGCAGAGGGGCCTTCTGTGAGCAACTTACCAAAAATGTTCCATCTTTATTAGATTTCACATTGTCTTCTTTAGCACTTTTTTAGAACTTGCAATTTGTAATTTGATATTTATCTGTTGATGTAGTAGTCCTAATATTTTAAATACTTCCCAATTTATGTTTCTTTATCAGTTTCTCACTCCCTGTCCCCAATTTGCCTCATAGCTCCAGGAAAAAAAAAAGAGAGCAGGCACTTGACCTTTTTAGTAAGTCAGTAGACTTGGAAACGAAGCCTGGAGGAGGGAGAGTTATCTAGAATCCTTTAGATCCTTGTTAGTATATTAAACGCCAGTTTTGGTGACTATGGCCTACAAGTCTACATAAGGATGATCCAATAGAAAAAAGGGAGTGAGTAGAAACACCATGCCTGCTCAGCCCTGGAGAAGTGTAGGAAGAAAAGACCTTGACAGATGGAGGCAGGAGGATGAAGATGTTGGACATCTAGATCCTGCAACCTCCTCTGTAGGGTTCAGTCAGATTAGGTGTGGGCAACATCAAGGGCATGGAGCAACTGCCCAGTGCTCCCAGTGTAAGAAGATGGCAAGGAGACCATTGAGCAGGGAACCCCTCACAATTACATGGAAAGCCAGCATCATGAAGGAGGTAGAATGGCATGTCCACACAGAGAGTGTCTAGCGTGAACTTTTAATCTTCCTTTGTTTCCCACATGGTGTGATCATTTTGTTGAAAGCTAGAGATTAGGCCAAGGAGCACCCTGTGGGCATGCAGAGGAAACAGGAATGGATGCCCTGGGCCTCATCAGCAGACAGAGGACGTGGCGCAGTCTCAGAACAGAGAAGGCTATGGCTAGAAAGATAAAGGGAAGACCAATTTATTGGGGAAGGGTCCAAAGATAAGGTAAAGAGATCATAGACTGCAGACAGCAGCTGGTGCCTGCAGGGTGGACCAGACCAGTCGTTGCTATGGAAGTCCGGATCATTCCACTGCGAGACCTGTGAAGTCCAAGGGACGGTGGGGTCCAAAGGATGCTTCGCTGTGCCCCTGTACGTCACATAAGACCTCACTCAGCATATATCCTGGCACCAACTTGGAGAAGAGGGCAGAGGAGTAGAAATGGCCTAAAAACAAGAAGATGGAACTATTTTTCAGAAAGACTGAGCATTACCTACCAAGATTATTGAAAATATTGAATAGGTTTTAAACTGCATTCATTAAATGAAGCTCATTTTCTTCTGCCAGGTGGGGGCTCTGAGAAAGACCTAATTACTTACAAACAAAAGCTACATTTTTCCTGCTCCTGTGAACTGTAGTGAGATCAACTTTATCACCTTCTTACATTTACTCTGTGTATCCCTCTGAGGACACAGAGTCACACTGCCACATCCCTAGCTCTTGATTACTGCTAGTGTAATAAATGTTCAATGGATGGATGGATGAATGGGTGGATGGATGGATGGATGGATGGATGGATGGATGGATGGATGGATGGACAAACGAACAGAAACTGGTTAAGAGTGCTGCACAGACATTTCTTAGACAACTAATCAAGGAAAAGATAATATTTAATCAACCAGCTATTTGCGTATGGGGAAACTGAGTCTCTTAATTCCCCATACACAGATTCATTATTGGTTTTAACCAATTCATGATTGGTTTTAATAATGAAGATTAAAACCATTAGAATTAAATCTGGTTTCTGCCTCTGGTTGTGCCACTAAATATCTGTGTAGCTTGGAGTAATCTTAGATTTTGTTTTAGGATTAAGGCATGAATGTAAAGGTTTTTAATCTTCAATAATTTTTATAGCTCTTCATTTTCTTATGTGTTAAGTGAACATTTCCCATCTACCTATCTATCTTTCTGGATTAAAAACTGTTAAAAAATGTCAGCTTTTCAAAAGAAAGGTGTTAGCTAATAAAGGTAGTAATATTGCAGACTACTATTCAATAAGAAACCAAAAGCATTGTTCTGGTTCATTTGTATTAATTATGGAAAACTGGCAATAGCTCAAATTCTTTTGCTTCTGAAATGACTTTACCTGGGCTATGTTATCAGTAATGCTTGCCTAATGACATCCAATCACTATCTACTTTCATGTCTTTACCCACATATCCAGGTGGAATTTAATGACCCAGTGCTGGGCTCAAGAACCTGACCAAAGACTTACTTTCTGTAAAATTCAAGACCAGCTTCAGTTATTCAGAAATTTTTCTGTAAATAGTATTTCTCAATGCAGAGAAGAAGCAAGCCCCGGTGGAGTCATAAATGAAGGCTTTGAAGGTCAGTTTGAGTCTTTGTTCAAAATTTCCTGGTTTTCTCTCCATTGTGGACTGAACAGGGTTAGAATGGTCCTACTGGGGAGGTGGGCTTGGACTCTGCCTCTGTTCTCGAGCCTGTGCTCTCAGACATCACGGAGACACGGCTGGGGTAAGGGAGCTGCCCACATGCTCTCCGCACTTTGTTATCAGCAGTGTGCTGCACAGCTAGAGTGAGAAAACGTTACTTATGGCTACTAGAAAAGAGACATCAATTTTATATTAACTTTATTTAGGTGCCAACTTTTGGCAGACTGAATTAAAATCCTAAATAGTGTTCAAAACCATGCAGAAATAGATATAAATATGCAGAATAATGATGCAGGAAGAGTTTAACTGGGAATATAACCAAACTTTGATAATTTAGACAGAAACAAGCAATTCTGTGCCACAGACACATAATTCTAGGAAAAGGGAAATTCTTAAATTCTGTTATTTACAATGCATGCAATTCCTGAAGATAAGGAAGGGTAAGAGATATAAAAATCACTAAAATTTTTATCACTGAGAGGTGACTGAAGAAAAGTGGCAGAGCAGAGACAATAGAATGAAAGGCAGGGTTTGCATATTTGTAAAGGATGGAAGTCATTGAACAGGCCCTTCTAGGTAAGCCTACACTTAATTACCTTTCTAATTAAAGAGAATGTGTTTAATAAGCATTTGCTGCTTTGCAGACTGGTGGGCATATTTAGCAAAGCAGTGTGATGCCTGTCTTCATTGTTATTGTTGGACACATAAGAAGATGAGAAAGCCATGGAAGGACTTTTTTTGGGGGGAAAAAAGGGTATTAGGATTACAGGGAGCAATAACACCATGCCTATCCCATGGTCCTACTGACCTAATAGGGTGGAGAGGGGATAGAGAGAGAAGTAACATATCTGGGCATCTAGTAAAAATATCCCAGTGACTTCATCCAAACATTTGTGTAAACATCACCTCATCAGTCCCAGAAAGTTCTACAGGAAACAAATCTAAATGCTCCTCTGCTGTTCTAAACATAGCCAGTCAGCCGGCATATGTCTCGTCTGTTAATACCCTGTTTTACTTGGAAGTCTTTATTTTAATATTTCCCTCTTAAAGAGAGGGTTGCTGAGTACATGCTGTCTTTGTTCAGGATCTCTCTTTTAAAGTTTGACCTGCAGGCTTTCTATTCAGTAATTTTTAAGCAAAAATAAATGAACACCCCCCCCCCC